TTTTTCTGATTATAAACTTTTTAACAAAAATCAAGGAAAAATTTCACGAGTTTATTAAACTTACTAATTTCTTATTTTTTTACTCACAACTATTTATTCAAATTCTAACCAGTTTGTTGTCAATTTGATGATGTACTGGTGTTTATACCTTCAGTTCAATCTAGATTTGTCGTCTTTCTGAATTCATTAATGTAAAAGAATCAAGCAGATTCATTTATTTGGAAAAGGAAGAAAATCAGCTCTAATTGTTTTAGCAGTATCAATAAAACCTAGCCTAGATTTATGCTTAGTTTAGAAATGTCAAGTAGTTGTTTTACACCTTTTTCAACAGATACTCTAATTACAGCAGCTTACTGATTGTCACCTACAGCCAAAATAGCATTAGATCATATATAGATCCTTGATAATTTTCTGTGTGATTTTAAGAAGAACTTTTGAGAAATTTTTCACTGTATCTGTTAACAGTTTTTCATATAAAATCTACTTTACTTAAGCTTATCAATAGACATTACACTTTTCTTAACAGTTTCGTTCTTTTATCGGTGTTTGTAAAATCAGAAAACGAAGAAATTTTTCTGTTTCTTGCAGAAAAATATTGCTTTTCTATAAAGCAAACAATATACAAATTACAGTTGACTTCCAATACAGTATCTACTAGTTTCAATTTGAGTTCAATAGTCTATGGTTTAGGCAGTTTTTATGAAAAACAGATTTCGTTTAAAGAACTGATTTTTTTTTTATGGCCACTGTAAACAAAAGCAACAAAAACAAAAAAGCTGTTGAAAGGTTATAAAAAGACGACAAAAAAAAAAAATTATCATGTGATTCAATAGTCTAAGTGCAGGAATAAATAAGGAAAAGTCAACTACTAATAGCAGTTAACTAGCTTGACGTTTTTGTTAACCAAGTGTTTACTGGACTATTAAGCTGTTTAATTTTTATTTTTATAAAATAATAAAATGTTTACATGCTGTTTTTTTTTTGCTCAGCCTCTGAGCCAAAGAACATTACTGGTGTACATTAAGCGGAAATTTGATAACAGTTCAAATCAGATGATGCTGTAGTGTATGAGAACTGTCTTAGAGTCCTTAAAGTTTGGCCTGTCGAAGAGCATCTTTTCTGATAGCCGTAACAATTATGACTGTCAATTTACACTTCAATAAAGAGTACATGACTGAATGTTCACATACAATTATGTATCCCTATAATTATTTTAGAATTATGGTAATACTGATTATGATGAAAAAAATTTTTTCAATTGGATGTTATTCAACTTATTAGATTTCTTACTTCAGTTGTTACCGAAGAAAAAGCATTGTTTTCTTTGTATAATTTGCGTTGGTTACCAAACAAAGATGCCAAGTTGCTACAGTAATAAACAACTGAAGAACCAAAGATTAACAAAAAAAAAAAAGAAGTAATATGAAGACAAAATAAACACCATTGTATAGATATGAATGAAATTTAACGATAAAAATAGCGCGTGAAAAAAGGAAAAAATAGTATGAGAAGAAAAAAAATAACTGAACAAAACAGTACTTTAACATTTTTAGATGTTGGTTATCGTTGGACTATCATTTGATACTTCGCATTCCACTGTTTATTATTATTATTGCTGAAGTTATTATAGCAATTAATATTGCTCGACAACTTTACTATAAGCTCAGTAACGATGCACAAAGTCAAGAACAAAAACGATACAAGTAATGATGACAGTTGTTCTAAAAATAAAAAAAACAGTGATTCTTATTTGTTGATATTGATACTGAACTTTTCCTTTCCTCGTCTTTGGAAAAATGAATTAGAAAGCGTATAAGCGATGAAACTGCAGCAACAGATTTTGAAGCAAAATTGTGTTTGAATATTTGAAATTGATGTAGTTAGAAAAAAAACTATAAAAAAAACTATTTTACCATCTGCATTCTAGAAAGTTGGCCAGGGCAACACTGTTACTAATCGGTGGTACCGGTGTGAATTTCTTCATCTTTGATTTCGTGCTTGCCATTACTGGTATAGTATCACGTAGCGCTGAAACTGCGCATACAATATATGTTATCGTCAACAGTTTATGGGTCTGTATCAACACAAAAAACTAAACTTTTTCAATTAACTATACAGCAAAATAATACTGTTTTTTCCTGAATTTTTAGTCTTTTTGATTCACTGCATAGCAGGTGAAAAAGAACAACAACGAACTAGATCGGAATGACAATATCAGTTTTTGTTTTTCAGGGTACTGTCGTATCCATACTTTACTGTTTCACCAGCGAAGAAGTACATAATGATTGGAAGTTGAAGGAAGCACATCGGAGAATACATCGAGCTATTAAACGGTATCCGTCTATAATCATTAGTAAAATAGTATTGGTTTTCTTTCTTAGACTCCACAGAACTTTGGCAACGGTTAAATTTTTTTCAGAGAATTCGAAAATTCACGAATTTATTATTCAAAAAAAAATTGTTATCGTAAGTCGACAGAATTGCATAATTATAGCGATAAAACGCAAGGTTGTGATAAGTGCGAAACGAGGTTAGTGTGTGCGTTTTTTTTTTTATTTATACATAATAACAAATATAAGCAAAAAGTTCTGACTAATTACGAAAAATACTTAGCAGACAGAATAACAGGGATATTAAGCTGTAAATTGTAACATTTAACTGGGAAAAAGATGTAAAAACAGAGGAGAAAAACAGTTTGTCCAACAGAGAGTTTTGATGTTATTAGTTTACTTTTACTCAGTAGGCGTTTCAATGATTGTCAAAGAAGACATCTAAGTGAAAAACTGTAAGTCTACTCTAAAATTATTGTTAATTTTTTTTTTTGTAATACTTTGTAGAGTTTAAGTATGTGTCATTGACTAAACTGTTTTATTGTCTAATTAATCGTGCTAACCAAATTAAGTCACCATTGCCTGCGGTATAAAATTAGTGTAGATTTAAAATTTCTTTACTGTGGATTTGAAATGACAGAATATCAGAAAAAGTGTATTGTGTTAACAAGAAAGTTTTTTTTCTTTTAAAATTTAATCTTTGAAGGTGATACAGATTAACAAAATATTTTCAGGAAAAATTTATTAGAAAAGACTGGTTTACTAAAAAGTAGCGGTAGCAGTGCAGCAACAATATGCAGCACAGCTGTAAACAGTAATCAGAATACAATTTGTGCTCGACCACCATATTCACCACGAATTGCTCCGCTATCGTTTTGTCAGGAAGAGAGTGAAGAAGTTTTTTCTGTTTAATTCATAAAAGATCGGTGACTGGAGAAAAAAAAACGTATATACGAACACATAATTTACAACACATCAGCGGAATAAATAACTGTTTGTGTTGTATAAAAACAGAAAGGGTTTCGGGTAAACAATTTATTGCGGGCACTAACTGTCGGTTCAAAGTCTATCTTTCATGCAGTTTGTAGTCTGAGATACTTTTTTGAAGTAATTGCTGATCAACTGTCGACAATATTCACACATTTATAACGGTTTTCAGGTTAAAAAACATCGACGATTACTTATAAACAACGAAAACTTTATTGTAGATGAACAAGTTTTTTTTTTAAAGTAGCTGACGGTTGACACAAGAAATTACTCTTCAGTTACTGTAAAATAATTACCATATCTGTTTTATAAGCTCCATTCTTCTTCTTCTTCCTTAAGTGTTAACTATATCCTCGAACGAATTCATGTAAATTGTATAGCCGGTTAGAGTTTAACTGATGACTTAATGAGGTAGCATTTATAGGCTATTCGGTTTCTTCTTTTGTACAGTCTTCTTCCATTTGGCTTACCATCAGCAGCCTCTTTCATTTGCTTGTAAGAGTTAACGATGTAACAACAGTAGGATTTCTGCTAATCATTAGGAAAACAGTGATGATTACATTCCATTACCAATAAGCTATCCATCATCCCGTCGAACGATGTTGGTTGTACGAAGTGGAATTCAACATTTTGACCGATCCTACAAAAACATTTAAGATTGTAGTAAAAGAAACACAGTTTTTGTGCCATAGCTGCATGAATTGCTTTATCGCATAATTCCGAGATGTTTTTAAAAAGCTAAATGTTAGTCAAAAGAAGGAAGCTGTTAGCGTCACTGAAACGAAAAGCACCGAACGACCGGCGGCAGTGAATGCAAAGTTTTTTAAGTTTTTACATGAATAGTCGAAATCAGATAGCGACCTCCGGATACAAAATTATACAAATACATATTAAAAGAAAACAAAAATCATATCAACAACGATTTACTGCTTAAAAGTGTTTCCGGGTGTTCCATTCAGTGTTTGCGAATGTTGTTGTTTATTAGTCTACCTTTTTTTCTCGTTTTTTTTTTTCTTCGACGCAAACTCTGTTACCACTTATTGTTGCGGGTTAACTTAACACTTTTAATGTTGACTTTTTTTTGTCTAAAACAGTTGTTGTTAACAATTTGTTTTCATATCCGTTTTTTTCTTGCTTTCTTTGCAGAAAAACTGTTATAGACTTGTTCTGTAAAAATGTTATGTGTCCTGTAAATAGCCATCGATAAATTATTATTTCTTTCATTTAAACATCACAAAAAAAATGACGACGATGACGATAAAACAACACTCTATATATAATCATTCTATATTGCTGAATTGTTAAATAGTACTTAACTAATCAAATAAACTTAATATTCCTCCCCACCACCCTCCTCTTTCCCTTTTTTCATGCTATCGCATGGGCCAGTACTACTAAACACTATAATCATTATACTGTACACCAGTTTGTGTGCATATTTTCAGTTTTTTCAATGTCTAAGCTGCTGATCGTCTGTTTTAGTATCTAACAATTCATATAACAAAACCGCTTCGCGGGATAATCAAACAATTACAGGCAATAACAAAGCATTTAGAAAATTAAGAAACCGTGAGGTAGTGGTGCCGTATTATTTCAAAAATCATTATCCGAAAACGTTGCCAATTGATAATCTCCAAAATTGCTTCTGATATCACGGCTTAATGCTTCCATTTGACTTCTGGCTAACTCCCTGAGATCTTCACTAGAAGCAATTTCATACTCGTTATCATACCCAATTGAGTGGACACTGAAAAATGCTATGTTACTTAATTCCCAGCTGCACATCAAAAATTTGGCACTGAAACAATACCTATTTGCTAAATTTCAAGCAATAACTAACATTTTGATTGATCTACATTAAAGTATAATGTCCAAAAAATCTTGAAAATGACAGAGAGAACAAAAAAAATAAAGCAGAACGAAAGATTAGTATTTTGGGTTTATAACTCCAATTGCAATAAACAGAAATAATCTGATATGCATTAAAAAACGACACTACCTGTTCCACCTTAGATTACTAAATATCGATGAAAAATTCAGTGAAGAACAGACGCTGTCAATGTCTGCCTCATTCCCGTTGTCGACATTCGACCATAATCTCCTTCGTTTTTTACGATTTTCGCTATTTCTAGAGCTAAGATGTTTTTTTTTTACAGTTTGAAAGTTATCATGGCATAGGTTTGAAAAATCGCCAAAAAGTTACTTTAAGGGCTTTTTATTTGGATGTCTTATTCGATTGTCAAGCATCTCGGAATCAGAGAAAACTCCCTCAGATTCGGCGTTATCGTACTCCGTATGACACGCACTAGACAATTCACGCCTAAACAATACTTGAAAACTGAGCTGTTCAACTACAAGCTTATTGCATTAAAATTGTTAAAAAACTAAGAAAACTGGACTTTGTGCAGGCAAGATAGTCAAACTAACTTACTTTGAGAAGACCGACCTAATACTTCGGCTTGAGGCTGATAATGCTGAAGTCGGGAAAGGATGGCATTCTAAACCAGTATCCAAATCCGCAACAGCATTTAATTCCTCAAGCATACGATCAACTCGATTTGCGGCAGCAGCCAGCCTTTCAGCACGTTCAATCCGAGACCTACTTGTATCAGAAGTCACTGAACGGCTCAACCAACCAGGGTATCTACTTCGTTTTAAACGCCGTTTTCTAGACGACCATTCTGGTGTTGTTGAGCGATCACACTGGAGTGACAACAGGTTACCAGTTTATGTCAACAGGTAACAATAAACTGAGAGCAGACAACAAAGATGAAATATCTCAAAACCTCTGAATCCTCAGTGGGTATATAGATGACTTCAGAAGAGTACATTGCCGATGTTGACGGCTGATCTTTCCTTTCGTAATGCAACATTTCCGGTGTAATCCACTCCATTTCAGAATCCGTTTCTATTCCGCCAACATCAACCGAATACACTTCAGAAGAAAAGGATGAATTCATCGATGCCATCATCTAAAAGTCACGCAGAATTGAAGCCAAATGCGGAAGTATGATATTTTTGTCATTTCAAATGTACTGTATACAACAAAATTAAATTACAAAATATAGTTCGTTTCGGAAAGTTTTGTTTACTTCATTTTGCGTATCCGTTGTCTGTTCCACAGGTAATGTGGCAGCTCTTGTTTCATTTTCATTATTCTCTTCCGGATAGCAATCATCAAACACGTATGCAGTCAAATCTTGCGAAATTTTTAATGGACGAGGATCAAAACTGAAATCACGCGGACGTAAGGCTAAAAATATCTCTTCCGAAACCATGATACCATAACAGTCTGCACGGCGCATAAGTTCATATGCCCGTAAACATGTATTGCCGTAAATCTCATAATTTGGTTGTTCAGCACTGGTCACAACAGAAAGTACCGGACCACAGTCAATACCTAAAAATAAAAAAGGTTTTGATACTTTTTTCCCTCCGAATTGATTAATTAAGCATAATGACACTCAAGTAATATAAAAGTCACACTCAACAACTTTATTATAGGCTATTCAATCGAAGGAAGTGCAATCAAACTAACATAATGAGATTTTTTTCCTGTTAACAAACAAAATAAGAAGAAAATTTTTTCACAGAAGTGTTAAAATCATTGTATGGCCACACCACCTATTTAAAACTGGGAAACCAATAACCAGAATTAGTAATACCTATATTCAGTGTAATGCTATGATCGGCAGCAAATGCTGATACATCCAAAGCGAACTGAGTAAGTTCTGCCAAAAGATCACCAATAACAGAAGGAGTATCGTGTACCTGAAAAATCAGCAACATTTATCACTAGCAAAAACAAAACAAATGATACTGTTCTAAAGCACGTTCTTCATAGGAATGGCTAAAGTATATTTGTAGCAGAAAAGAAAAACAGATTTAGACGACTCAAGGTTACTTACATTTTTACATACTTCCGGTAGTATACCAACTGCAGCTATATAAGTCCGATTAGCGTTACGAATTTTTTCAACTCCTTCATGTTGAAGCAGAATCTTAAAAGCGCAAAAAAATACTTTATGAGAAATGTTTAATATACGTTTTACAATATACCTTTTTCTTTATTTTCTTCCATTCTCTTATCTTTCCCCTCCCTCTTCTTTATTGAAAAAAAGTGGTTCTCAGTCTTAAAAATTATAATTAACATTGAAGCAAATATATTCAAAGCTAAAAAAGCAGGTGCCAACTTACACTCATACAAAAAAAAAAAAAAAAAAAAGAAACAGCTTTATAACTACTTTTTCTTTTTTTTTTTTTTTTTAATTTCGAAGAACAATCTCATTAAACTTTAATACGTTATTCAAAACCGGTCAACCTGTTCAAGACTCGACCTGTGCAGCACTGAGCATCACACTGATTAAACCAATTATAAAGTAAAATCAAAATTACAAAATAAACCTTTCATTAATTTAATTTCAACAAAAAAAAAAATTTGGAAAAGAAAACCGTTTTCACAATTTCTTCTTTTTTTTCTTTTTTCTTGTTTTTTTCGTTATAAATTTTGCAAAAAAATAGATCAAACAGAAATTAGATGTCAAAAAATAGTCAGTAATTATTTTTTTGTTGAGAGTTGAAAAATAAGGCAAAGGCTGGAGAAATGTCCTTCAAAAAGTAGCGTCTAATTTGAATGAAAGTCTTATCTATTTCTTCGTTTTTTTTTTTT